TTAAGCCATAATATTGCTGTTCAAAAGTTTTTATAATTTAGCTCATTTTATTTGAAAATACAAAATGATTAGAAATAAAATCACCCCTTCTCTTGTAAGTTACTCATCGAGGTAATTCTAAAACCAATCAAAATCAGATTCAGAATCAAATTCAAAAACAAATCCATATCCACATATTTCAAAATGACCTGAATCAAACTTTATTGATGCTTCTGGGTGTTGTTCCTTCAATAAAATTCTAATGAAGTCCGATTTCGCGACAGTCAAATCATGGTCAATGAAGAGGAGCCATCCCACCCTTGAAACCAATCTAGCAATAATGAGCAGATCATCATTAGTGAGAGGTTCTGTAGTCGGTTTCGACAATTCCAAGTATCGTAATCCGACATTTTCATTTTCTAAACTTGTGCAAAGAGCTGATAACTGCTTACTTGTTGGAGTGCAACTATATGCGGTCAGTACTGGCAGCTCGGTATTTCCCAGTAACTTTGCCAATTGTTTAAATGCTTCTTCATCCATGTTAGGATTCTCATCATAAATTTGTAACAAATATATTTCCACACCATATTCATCCATTGCTTTCATCATCTCACTTATTTTCTCCGCATTCAGATCACAGTTATTCAGGGCAATATTAGGTGTTTGACCACGTGAACTAATCAACAGCATGAAAATACCCAAGAGGTTCCAGTGCGGACTTTCGCTTTATTGAAAGCATGGAGTTAATCTCAAGGTTTCCCTCATCGCGGCTTCATTCAGGATTCTTGTTTCTCAGCATCAGGGCCACACTTGATGAAATTGAAGCTTCCCACACTGACACTTTGCACAGATCCAAGAATATGTTGCAGAGAAGAATAAATTTCAGGATGTATTTCCAAGTATCCTAATTTCAAAGACCGAAGTGGAGTCAAATTTTCTACAACAGTCAACAGTGCACGCAGTTCTTCAAGTGGGAATAAATAATCTAAAACCACCTTTTCTATTTGTGAGGAAACTTTCTTTATCACATCAGGACCACATTCATGTAATAAGGTCACGTCTTGGTGATATAGCTCGACTTTTCCTCCCAATAATTTATCCAAAAGGTATTCAGACTTGATATGCAGGTTACCAGAATAATAATTTTTTGCTTTTTCTGAAGATGATTTGTTGAGAATAATTCCAAAAATATGCTTTATAACGACTTCCATTCCTGGTTTCTTGTAATTATCATCGATGAACTTCTTGAATTCATCCAAACCAAGATTGCAAACATACAGGGAAGCAAGTATCTCTTGAATACTTTGATGGGAGAATCGGAGACTCATGTCATCGTCATCCAGAACATACTCCAAAAATTCGGTATCAGCATCCATCTCTACCAAACCATGCATGTCTTTCATATCCAGGGTTAAGAGATTCAATATAACTTGCTGTGAAATCGAATTTATTCTCTACCATTCCATGGTAAGCCAACTTCATGAAGTCTTTTAGTACTTGACGATCTATGTTTCCTTTATGAGAAGATGTTGAAAAAAGTCTCAGAACACGAACCATCAAATTTGTTAAAGTGCCAATATCACTTTCCTGAGAATTTTTCAACACTCTTACCATGTAGAAAAAGAACATTGGGTTTGAAACAAGACCCTGTGCTTTCTCTTTCAAAGCATAAATGAATCTTTTTGCTTCAGAACCAAATACCTTTTCAGCAAGAAGATTCAGTGTTTCATCATCCCATCCTCCCAAGGCCAGAGTTGATGGTGCCTTGAGACTTGGAGGAAGTTTCCAATAAACATGCCAGCGTGAAGTTGACAAGACCTTCATTTCTTGGTAGATGTGGCCAGATAGAATGTTGGCGATAATAGTGTTGGTTTCCGCTGGAGTGTCCACTCCGATATTTCCGTATTCATTTTCAAAAGGTTTTTTCATTTGGTCTAAACCATCAAGTATGAGTACAACATACTTTGAATTTAGTTTCAACCACTTTTGTCCAACATGATGGAGGTGCTCGGGAAATCTTGATCCAAGTTGTTGAATGAATAGAAGATCAAAAGCACTTGATGGGCAATCACATTGTAATTTAGAAATCTCAACTAAATAGACCATCTTGATTTCCATTGAAAAGACCAATTTTTTCTCCGAAGCCAGCATAGTATATCTCAGTGCAAATGTTGATTTTCCAGAACCTGTGTCTCCTAGCAACATCACATGGTTGACTGAGTCATCAGAATGAATTTTTTTAATATCCACTGGTTGCAAATCAGTATGTTTCTTGGAGTCCAATTTCTTGAACTCTGAAACCTTGGGAAGTATAAAATCATCCATCTTTGTTTTTTCTTTAACAGACTTAAATCCGAGTTCCAACTTCTGCTTCGTAACATTCTCCACAATTTCCAGAAACTGTTCGACACTCTTTGTATCTTCTATTGCTTTAGCAGATCGCTCTGGCAATTTTGATTTCTTTGAAGGCAACTCTTTTACCATTTGCTTTCTTTTAACTAATCCTGAGGTTTCACCTAGTTTGATAGGCAAAGTAGACTCGCACAAACTTTCAGATATTTCCGATGTAGATTCCACAACTATCCGTGGTTGAATGATCTGTTCATTTTCTGCCTGATTGTAATCATGGATGATTTGTTCTTCCTCTGCCTGATTCAATCCATGAATATATTCATCAACTAATTGCCGTATTCTTTCTATAACAGCGGCAACATTAGCGTTCAGTTGTCTTGAATTTCTCCATCTCCACAATAATTTTAGGTTGCGTTCTTCCACTGAGAATTTATTATTCTCTGTGATAATATCAACTTCATGCTCATCAAGAGATAATCCCTGCCTGGACCTTGCGAAATGCTTGAACTCTATGGTTTTAAACCTCCTAATAACAATTGGAAAAACATCTTCAAGCCTTTCTTCATGCGCAGGAATAGCTAGATGTTCTGCTCCATAATATTGTGTTACAATATTGCTTATACTCTGTGGATTTGCATTCGCTCCATTTCTTTCAGCCCAAAGCCAGAGTATTCTCTTCTCCTGTTCTTCAACAGCGAATCTGTGGTTTTCAGTGATCGTAGTGACATCTCGCACACTCAGTTTGAGTCCGTTCCTTGATTGTGCGAAATCTTTGAATTCTGCAATTGTTGTGAACTTTTTAACAACTTCAGTAAATGCGTCCTCTAAACGTTCATTCATGGCTTTCAAGACTTTTCAATTTTATCAGCCAGTCAGCATATCACAATAGGCGTGACTGGAAATAGTATAAAGAGATCCTTGTCCAGTTTGAGTGCAGTGATAGTTGAAAACAAGGCCTTAACCATCCATTACTTATGTGAACTGCTGTTGAAATTTGAATAATTTCTGTTACACATAAATACAAGATGGCGTCGCTCAAACACAAACTTAACCTCCGCAAATTTTTATTTTTTTTATGCCAATTGATTGAAATAATAATTGATTAGTTCCCATCCAAATTTGATTTGATCCCATTCCCAGAAAATAAACATTTGCATAGAAAAATCAAGAGGCAAAAAAATTATACATCCACAATGATAAAAAATAAATAAAATACAAACATATTATCCAAAACCCATTTTTACATCGTTAGTCAAATTTTGATATCCCAAGTTATGTTGTCCATTGCAAGTCATTTTCCATGTTGTGATTCGTAGAATACCATTTAAAGATTAGATTTATTTTAGTTTATGGATTAGGCATACAGGCATGTAATACACATGATACTCCACTCAGATATGCACCCAAATGACACTTTTTTTGATGACGTAATCACGCACACACAAAAAAAACAATTCCCCAATGGCACCAGTGCGCTATGGCGAGTTGCCATGGATATTCCCCCGACCCTTAACCCCATATTTGAAAGTATTTTGTAGAGTTAGTGCTCATCGGTATGTTAGTCGTTGGTGCTCATGAACTTGGTTAAAATTATTATTTTCATTGAAACCATTTGACTGCGTGCCGCTTGCAGTTGCAAGTAAAGTACTGACAGATAATATTGGCCTTGTCTATTGAGCTTTCTCCGACCTTTAACCCCCGAAAAATCATTGTTTCGGGGCTTATTTCAAGAGTGGTTTCGCGAGTTGGCGTCTGTAAAATGGGCTATTTGTTTCAAACCATGATTATGAATCATCGCATACAATAATCTGTCTTTTAAAGTAACGGTAAATGATTTTAGCCTAGTCTATCACAGCTATTTCTACATTAGTTTTTTTTTATTACCGCAGTTGAAATAAAACTCATAAGAAGACAGAGTGATCATTGAATTGTCTGATTTATATTTAAATTTCCGAAACACATCTGAAAACTAACGAATAAAGTTCGAAAATGCGAAAACGGGGTAATGTTTACGACAAAATGAGGAAAATATCAGAGCGGATGCGAAAAGAGGACATTGTTACGTCACTTTCTGCATCTTGCTTGATTGGCCAATGTCCCGGAGTAAACGGGAATGTCGATGCTCGGGGAAAGTTCCATTGCAGCATTTGCGGCGGCGTGTCTTATCGTGCTAAGGATAGGATTTACCTATTTATCCGGGGTAGAGGAAAGCCGATAAGATGGTTCAGCCATAATTATGGCGAACCACGGCTTCTCGTTCGGTTACCATTCCAAGTCGGGTATGGGATTATTTATTTATTCATTTTCCGAAGCATGTACTAAGCGTTAGGAATACGCTCGCCACCGTACCACAAATAACTCTGCGTGGGTTCGCAGGTTTGAATCCCATGCGGAGATAGTTATGTGCGAGAAGATTGCTGGACTCCTTGCTGCCGAAGAGTGGTTCACGTAACTGCTGCTGTATATACCGAATTATTTAATTGTTATTGGACACGTAGTGGACGTAGCGATCGTTTCAATATTATGTTGTTGTTGTTCTTAGTGTCCTCATTCTTTGACGCGTTTTGAAGAAATCGCTTTTCTCTTCGAATACTGGACCAATTGCTTTGAAATTTTCAGTGGTTGAAGATAAAATTTTTCTCCAGAAGGCTATTACTTTTTTTTTACTCTATGACGTCATCAAAATTATTCCCACTGAGTGGCGCAACGTGTCCATATATTTGAGCATAGCTCTCTTGTTATTATTTTATTATCGCAATGACTACTATATTATTTTTTGTTGACGAAATATTAAATATCTCTCTCTCTCTCTTTGCTGGTCGGTTACGGCTTCCTCATCTATCAAGTCCATGCTTCCGAAAACAAATAACTAATTAATCCCAAACCCGACATTAAATGGTTATCGGACGACCACGCCTAAAAATCTGTCCGAGTGAAAAAAGTGTCTGAGCGGATGCGAAAATGGAGCATTATTACCTACCTTTTTGCATCTTGCTGATTGGCCAATGTCATGAAGTAAACAAGGAAGTCGATGCTCGGGGAAAGGTCCATTGATTGATTAAGATGCCTTATCAGCCTTCCGTTATCTCAGCGTTTCCCAAACTGTGTTCCGCGAAACACTAGTGTTCCGCGAGCGTCTTCCGAGTGTTCCGTGAAAATGAGATCAAAATTACGAGTAAATTGGTCGCCAGCAAATAAATAAACTGCAACTTGCGAAATTGCAGCAACTACTCCTATCTCCATTGTTACATTGCATTAGAGGCAAACACTACAAAATAGTAGGTTAACGACATAGAAAGATAAAATGTATTTATTGATTCTTATTATTGTAACATCTATAATAAATGCAATATGTAAAATATTCAATCATATTTTAGTTATCTAACGCATATCTGTTAGTTTTCAAGGTGAATTCGGCAACTCGCCACGGCGCACCCTTAGAAAAACGCTGCATTACACCATTTTCTTTCTCAATTTTGTTTGCCCTTTTTTTTGGGGTGTTCCGCGAGGCGGGATAAAAAGCGTTAAGTGTTTCGTGGCCAAAAAAGTTTGGGAAACGCTGCTTAATCTTATTCTACGGGATTAAAGGTCAACCTCCTCATACTTATATCCAGCTGTTGTTTTGATTTTCAAGCTTTAAAAACTTTTCTGCTTTTGTAGCGTGTAAATGTCTATGTCATCAACTAAACTCGTCCAATTATTAGATTTCGAAGTATTTGGTCGAGTACAAGGTGTATTCTTCCGCAAATATACCAAGAAAACTTGCGATAAACACCATGTAACTGGTTGGATTATAAACACTGCACACGGAACGGTCCAAGGAACGATAGAAGGAACTCCACAGAACATTACAATTGTGAAACAATGGCTTACAACGCAAGGGAGTCCAAGCTCACGAATAGAGAAAGCGGAATTTTTCAATGAACGCCAAAACAGTACAAAAACATTTGATAGTTTCAAGTTGCAAGAAAGACCTTTAAAAGATAACAAAAGTTGTGCGATCTTCTGGATAGTTGCTGCAGAAATAACATCATTTAATTTACAGGCACATGGAGTTAACTCTATCTGATGAGATTAGCTCAATGTTTTTTTTTAATTTATTACTGTAATATTTGAAATACCATATTTAAGTATTGTGCTGCTTTCAAGCAAAATCCATACCTTTGAGTTTTAATGGATTTCAAATTCACATCTCATATACCTAGACAAGTCTATGATTCACAATGAGCAAATCACTTTTCCGCTTAATTAAGAGAAGAAATATGATTTCCCAAAGCTGAATAGTTTCTTTCTCTTTGCCAAGTCAACTATTCGTTGATTAGCTGAGAATTTTCCAATTGATACATATCACCAATTGTCCATGAAAATGAGTATCCTAAAATGGACAAAGTTTAATTAATATTATAATGTATATACTTTATTGCTTTACAGTATCTCACTGTATTTATTTTCATATGTTTGTTAATATATATATTTTGGAAAGTATGTCGTTTAATTCTTTTAAAAGAAATTGTCATGTCTATATATCTGGACTGATAACTGATTTAAACCTTTGTTATTCCTTGATAAATCTTCAGGAATTTGAATCGGCAGAACAATACGTTTTCCAGACAAATGGGCAATATCTGTCCTGGAAGTTGGCCGTTGCTTACATTTAATATTATTTATCATGAAGGACCTGTGTGTTGTATTGAAAGCGAGTGATATATGAAGCCAGCAATAGTCATCCTAGCATGTTATTGTAGAGGCTGTGTCACGACCCTTCTTGCTAAGAGAAAAATAGGTACTGCCGTAGTGTGTGTACCAAGTTAGGGTTAGGCCATAATTTCATTCCGTTTTTCCTTAATTCTATTACAAGTTTTGGGACTGTCTGTGTTAGCCATGTGAATACACCTCCCGCCCATAGGCTTCCATCTCTATACAACTTGATGTGAGGTAGGCGAACAAAATTAGTTACCTCCCTCCACATTGGTACACAAACTTCTGCAGCGCTGAAAAATAGGTAGAATTCATTTAAATTTCCACACGTTCTTATTCCACTCAATTCATGCAGCCCATTGCACTGATCTAATTCTCCTGTTGTCCAAGTTCGGGGTAAAATGCTGGTTATTTAATGTAATAAATTGTAATTCTGACAAAATTAATAATTCTAATTTTTTTCTGACCAAATTTTGAGTGCAAACTTCGAATAATCTGCCAAAGCTGAGCATGCCCTCCTTGAATTTCCTATCAACCAAATCTAAAACCCTAAATATACCAATTCATAAACTTTATTTATAAAATCCATAACAACACTTGAGCAGTATAAAAGCAAATGCATTATACGGTAGCTGAGAAATATTAAAATAAGTATGTTTTAAATCCATGCAATGTTATATACGGGGGCCTTATGCAGAACACGACTGCTGGCCATGTATATATATATACTTAGTATACAATCTGTAATAACTTAGCTTGGTGGTGTGGAGCATCAGGAATACGCTCGCCATCGCACCTCTGATTACAGTGCATGGGTCGGCAGGTTCGCATCCCATGCGGGGACAGTCATATGCGAGAGGATTGCTCGAATCCTCGTAGGGTGGTTCACGTAACCGCCTGTCCGTTAGGGCTACCTCCACTATCAAGTCCATGCTTTTAAAAGCAATTGAAAAAAACATACAAAAATAACACTTACGTTTGGGCGAAACTGGCAAAACCTTTGATAAAGTTTAAATCATGTAGAAATACATGTGCCAGATAAGAGACAGATTGTAACCGGATGAGAAGCCATGGTTTGCCATATGATCGGTTTTCTTCCCTCTAGGGGTAAATATGTAAATCCTATCCTAACCAGCTTATAAATAAAGGAAATCGTAGCGATCCGACTTGTGATAAATGCCAATAATAAGATTCGTTTTAGATTTCTTTATGAGGAAATTCGTTCAAATCTGGTCAGAAGTAAAGAAGCTTCATCTCTGAGCAAAGTCTATGGCAACCCCTGAAATGCCAAGTATATCATTGTCAAAAAGTCAAAACTTTCTGGCATGGAGGTATTGTAGTCTGCTGCATTGTTCATGTAACTGATGCTGTTTTCTTTGAATGCAAGAATCTGAAGAGTTGAACCAACTGACGTTTTCTGTCATTGTGGCAACCTAAAAGAAATTAAATTTTATGTTAAACCTTTTGTTAGGAACTTTTTAGTATTTGGCATTTTCACTCTGAACAAGAACATAGGCCAGCAGTGACTGATACCACAAAGCGGCGCTCCAGAAGTGTGTGTACCAATATAGAGGTAACTAATTTTGTTCGCTCACTTTATTACATCAAGGTATGTAAAGGGACTGAAACTTTCCATAAACCCTTTCCATGCGATTTTTATGAAATAATCGTATTTGCTACGCCGATTTTATGCATTTGTACCCCCACAACTAATCGATCGACTAAAGAAAAACTAATGATCCTCTGCTGCCCACTGACGGCTCGTTAGAAAGCTTATTCAAAGAGCTTGCAGTTGGCGATTAAAAAAAAAAGTTTTTTCAAAAGTGGTGGTCTGAGTCACAAACCGGATAGAAAAAGGGCATTTTTTTTCTCGGGAGTTGAAACTTCAAACCGTGATAAAAATAAAAAATATTCGCTAAATCCTTTACAGTTACCGCTTCTTGGTTGGCAAACAATAGCATAATATTGCTGTAGCAATTTCGTGATCTAACTCAAAATACTTTGGTAGATGAAAGGGATAATATGTCTTCTATTACACCCAAAAAACACCGAAATTTGCATAAATTTCAAAATCACTCCCTCGTTCCGCCGCAAATAAAATTCCTGTCGTAAACGAAAGCGAGATTTACCGTCGCTTATGTTAATCTCGAAGAAGACTTCTTATCAATAAACTAAAACCCTGAAAAACTAGACCAGACCGATTGCTAAATAAAACTATGGGTAACTTGAAGTGCCCACCGCACGTAAAGGGTTAACACAGACAGTCCCGAACTCCTAATAGAACTAAAATCGGAATAAAATTATGGCCTAACCCTAACCTGGTACACATACTAAAGAAGCACCAACAAAGCTACTGTGCTATCAGAAGGACCGGCTCACTGCCTACTCAATTTATCATATCTTCGTAGATGTTGGGCATTTGAACCCTGAATTCTCCCTGTGCTTTGCGAACATGGTTATGGCTAGTATGCTGACCACTGGCCATCTTGCATGCCATACCAATAGCTTTGCATCAGAATATATTTTCATACAGGAAATATTGGGTACTCCTGTAGCTGGCAAACCAAGATGACGGACACCGGAACGTAGTATGTGTGCCAGGTCAGGTTAGGCCATAATTTCAGATACAAATACTACGGAAGTCGCTTGGCTAGTCCCGAACTCGTAATAGAATGGGTCTTCAAGCACAAACGGACGAAGGGTGTTAACAACAATAGAAGTGCGATGGGAAGCGCATTCCCAAACTTAGCACAATGTGCCACCATTAGAATTCCACCATCTGGCCCAGGTGGTATTAAATTGGGCAGGATAAAAAAGATCTGCTCATTCTTGCGATCAATAGCCCTACGCCAATTGGCTGTTCTTTAATAACCCAATTCAAACCAAAATGCATTATTGTCACTTTATATTTTTTTGAACTAACCTAAGAAAGTGTTTGTAGCATACGCAGGGCCACCCAGGCTGTCCATTCCCCCTTCATCTGCATACACAGGACCATCATTCCACATCAAATCAAAACCTCCAGCTCTTTTCTCTTTACCAGTGAATCTGAAAAAGCAGAATCATGTTTTCCAGAATCAGGTAAATTAGATGGGATGGCTTAACCATATGGCAAATCAAGGCCTGTTACTTTATTGGTAGCTTGAGCATTAGAAAAGCAAATCCTCTCACAAACAAATTTGAAATCTGTGAGTAATCATTGGTGCAGTGACAAGCATGTTCCTAAGCCATAGCACAATGTATGGACTGTCAAGTTGAATTGAAAGCATTGATTGCAACTTTTCCCACCAAATTCAGCCACTGAATTGGTTGGTTTTGGCTGTGGCTACAGCTTCCCTATATCAGCAAAGGGTACTCCGTGGTATGTGTACCAGGTTAGGGTTAGGCCAAAATTTTATTCCGATTTGCCTTATTTTAGTTCTATTATAAAATTGGGGACTGTGTTAGCCAAGTGAAAAAAAACATACGTTTATAAAAAAAATTTACCGTTTACTAAAACTATGTGTGGATACTAAACTAGGGAATACTTGTTATAAAACAACTTGGATAAACCAGAGAAGGAGCTGTAATTGTCATTTGAAAGAACTCCTCCAAAGAATCCAGCTAATTAGTCTGGCTCGGGCTGAGTCAAATTTAATACCTACGGGCCTGGGTTAGGCCGGACTGAAATTTTTGGGCCCAATCTTAGCTCTGTTTCACATACAATAAATTGCTCAGGTAATCTCGAACCTGAAAAATATTGTTCCTTTCAAATAATAGTAGCTCCTCACACATCGGTAGCTGCTTGTATAACCCTTGTTCAAAGCAAACGGCCTGAATAAACAATAAAAACTCAATATATGGTTAGACCATTATTATTGACTGTTCTAACTCAGAAGATGAGGACAAAAAACTATATTGTATAATTTTAGGCACACCCGTAGTATGTAAACGAACACCGAAATGTAGAATGTGTACCTAGTTAGGGTTAGGCTCTAATTTCAGGTACAAATACTACAGGAGTCGCTTGGCTAGCCCCGGGATTGGAAATGGAAGTAAGATAAGGAAAATTGGAATAAAATCATAGTCTAACCCTAACCTGGTACACACACTACGTTCCAGTGTGCGCAATCTTGGTTCAGATACTACGAGAGCCCCCAATTTTTATGTGGTCAAAAACTACTCACCATTTACACAAGAACGTAAACTCTCAAATCAAATTTCTTCCTCCGATCAAATGAGGGATTTTCAGATATCAACGTCTTTTGTTTCTTCTTTTCGTTCATTCTGTATCCTTCCTAATAAAAAATTCAAAATTTGATCGTTGTTCATTAATGAAAAAAAGCAGGACTGTGAAGTCTGAGTTTGGGATGTTTTCACTGGAGTCAAAGTTGAAGCCGTATTTTTAAACTGCACGAAGTCAGTCGAATTTTAGTCAAAAATTTTCTACAAAAAATCGAAGAGTATACTAAGCATTTCTAACAGTCTGTTAAATAAGGCTTGCATACACCAAATATGCCTTCTTTATTTGTAAAAAGCAAGGCGCTCCAGCAGAAGTATGAGCACCAATATTGTACACTAATACACTAATTTTGTTCACCTATTTTACATCAGGTTGTGTAAAGGAACGGAAACACATGGGATATATATATATGGGATAGGGGGTATATTCACTTGGCTAACACAAACAGCCCTCGAACTCATAATAGAGCCAAAATAAGAAAAATCGGAATAGAATTATGGCCTAAACCTAACCTGGTACACATACTACGGGATTACACATACTACTAGAGAATTTGGTTAAAAATAAAATAAAAAGCTTGCTTGGATGAAAGCAAATGAGAAATAAATGGAATTAGTTGAAAGAAGTTTCATGAGGTTTTCAATATTTTCACCAATAGCTGCGGATCAAGACAGGGACTCAATAATGCCAATTCATTCATTTTGTAATACCGGCGATCAGTGTTCCCTCTAATAAAATGTTACACTGAGCAAATGTTTGTTTTAGTGAACATGAATATTTTAAGGCTGAGCAGAGTCCTAAATGATTTACAAACTATGGGAAATATTACAACAGTATAATATATTATCAGAATTCGAACAAAGTAGGCTACACATTTAACTCGAAAACATAGAATGAGCATTCTAGATAGACGTTAGAAAATATGACGAGCCACGCTTTGAAAGCTTAACATTGCAATTGCGTGAGAATCCTCTGTTGGTATTGCGCAATGGTGCAGTTGCGTACCTCAGAGGGAACCGTGCTGCCAATTTTCCCCTTCAACATTGTGAACCAAATTTAATATTCCCTGCGTGGAGTGATTGGCAGGATATTTAAATTAGAGGTTCTTAACCAGTAATGCCAACATAAAGATTGAACCAGCAGAATTAAACCCATAAAATTCCTAATTACTAAAAAAATGAGGAAAAATTATTTAACCCTTCTGTTTATGAATGATTGAACCTAAATGTTTCGGAAATTATGTTCTCTCTATAATAGAAGGGTGGGCAAGGTTTTTGAACCAGGGGCCAAAAATTGTGCACACTTAGACTCGTGGGCCATGTAAGTGTGACGTATAAAGTTACATTTTATAAATAATATTTACAGTGTTACAAAGCAAAGGAAAACAATAAGCCTAGTGCCAAAACTAAATTTAACCAAAATCTTAACAAACTCCTTGAGCTAATTTAGCTGAAACATCAGAATTTGATTTCAGTTTGGTTGTGGTAGCATCAGGCGGGCCAGATTGAATTACTCAATGGGCCAGATTTGGCCCACAAGCCGTTCTTTGCCCATGCCTGCTATAATATGTTCCAAATGACTTGAGTTGTGTTTTTTGAGTCAGGATGTTGTGCAATGTGATTATTATCAAGTTATCACTCATCTCGGCCACCATATTGGCTTTGCCTGAAATGCAACCAATTATCGAAAACATACTTTCACAAACGTCAGCTCTTTATTGAGTAAATATACTCAGCCGCTCCCTAATGACGTATACTTGTGTGACATTCCATATACGGTAACGGACTAGGTTGTAGACACATTAGTTAATGTTTAATTAACAGCATTCGTATCAACATATCATTATTGGTCGTAATCAAAGAGGAAAAATATCATACAGTCACCTAACATCAACTGTAAATTGATTAAAATATTGTTTGCTGGTCCTCATGGCCAGGAAATATCTGGCGATTATTTTTGTGAATAACGATTTGGGCTATTCCAAGTGACTCTACAGGACAATTCTAGAAATTTTGCATGTTGTTAGATGCAATATGTCATTACATTTCCAGCTAAAAGTTTTGTGTCATTATCCAATCAGTTGCTTTATAGGGTTTGAACAAAATTGCACAAAAGTTACACACAAGACTTACATAGTGAATATAAAATATATAATATTATAAGGTAGCGTGACACTACAGGATGGCAAATCCACCATGCATTAACGTTTCATTGTGGTGTGTTGTATATTATCGCGCTGGTACAGCATGAAACCATACTATTTCCTGGTGCAGTAACTGAAGGACCCCGCTACGTGTTGCTCAAGTTATTTAATGTAACACTGTAACAAAAACACTGTAACACTGTCTGGCGTGAAACCCAGTTAAGGTTAAGTGTGAGACTATCCAAGTATACACAATTAAATTAGTTCGTTGTAGGGTTGGGCCTACGAGTTTGCTTGTCAGAAATTGATCCATCACATTAATTTCGTTTGTGTTGTTGTGTTCTACATCCAAATGGAACATTAACCTTTCTCCTTGGTTACGCACATAAATTGGTATAGGGCATAGGATGGGGGTCCGTAAAAAATAATATCCACAAATAGGAGTTTATAAAGGAATTGTAAATCAAGTGATTGTCATTATATTTCTTGGGGAGCTTTAATTTATTTGCAATAATCAATAATATGTCCCACAAATACTGCGATAAACTAGGCCAAAATTAGGTGTCCGTACCTGCGAGCTACACATGGTTAGGGGTGGGCAGAATCGAATATTTTTTTCGAATCGAATAATTCGAATATTTTTAACGAATACCGAATAGTCGAATAACGAATATTTTTTATACACAACAGGAGGTCCAGGACGTCGGCCGATACCCCCTATGGCATTGAAAATCGGCTACAAAGCGTTCTTTTACTGGGTTATCCATCGTCATAATCGCAGATTGTTTTTGTCACCGCGACCGTTTTTGCGGCGATATATAATCTATATCCACGCCTTTTCTGTTTTTTGCAAGTATTATTAAATCTTTCGGGTCGTTGGACATCGAAGTTTATATTTTGGGTTTACCCGTTCGTTCGCATTGGCAACAGCTGTTAAAACCATTAAGGTTTGATTTCAAAACCCAAATTAATATTATTCTAATTTTTATCATTTGCGTTGGCTTTGATATTACTTATCAACGTTGCGCAATCTTGGTTCAGATACTACGGGAGCCCCCAATTTTCATGTGGTCAAGAACTACTCACCGACTACACAAGAACGTAAACTCTCGAATCAAATTCTTTTCCTCGATCAAATGAAGGTTTTCCAGATATTATTGAACAATGTAGGTTTCAACGTCTTTTGTTTCTTCTTTTCGTTCATCGCCGTTCACTCTGTATCCTTCCTGATAAAAAAATCAGAAATTAGGTCGTTTAATAAAAGGAAGGGAAGGACTGTGAAGTCGAGTTTGAGATGTTTTCACTGGAGTCAAAGTTGAAGCCGTATTTTTAATCAGCACGGAGTCAAATTTCAGTCAAAAATTTTTCTACAGAAGATCAAAGATTTTACTAAGCTTTTTTAACAGTCTGTTAAATAAAGCTTGCATGCACCAAATATGCCTTCATTATTAGTAAAAACTAAGGCGCTCCAAAAGTTTGTGTATCAATGCCGTAACTAATTTTGTTCGCCTACATTGTATCAAGTTGTGTAGAGGGACTGAAACCTATGGGGGTATACTCACTTGGCTAACAAGTGTGGCCCGCGGGCCTGGGTTTGAACTACCCTGAGCTATATCATGAAGATCCCATATACAATAGAAACTCTACCTACGAAAGGCTGAATATGAAAAATATGAATATGAAAAATCCAAGTAACGAAAATAATTTTTGTAAAAATATTGCTTTGACTATCGTAAGATTTTTTACATACGAAAGGCCGAAAACCGAAAACTTAAAACACGTGTGTGGTGATATTTGTTTGTTTTAGGTTAATTTAATGCGGGGATGTCCAAATCGAATTTAATATTCAAATATCACAACACAACCTTCGGATATCATTTTCCATGTTCATAAAAATCCTTAATATGGAGCACATATCCTAGCACCGCCGTGAAAACCTTTAAGAATTTTTTTATTTTTTATCGCTCTCGAATGCAGGCAATTAATTACAAGTTGACATGAAAAGTGACCGAAGTGTGACCGAACATAAATGGAGATTTCTTCATTTCTTGCAATTCAGAACATATAAAATAGTTCTTAAATATTATTTAGTATCTATTGCGCAGATTTTATCCCCAACGTCGTTGATGATAATATCGTTCAGTTCAAGTTGGCGGTATTAATTTATAAGCAAAAATAAAATCATAACAGCCGACATGAAATATTGAAATCGGTCGAAATATAAAACATACTTTTCAGGCTTAGTTCTACATCTGTGGCGGACGGAAATTTGGAAATTGGGTTCAATCATTTGATTATGACGATGGTAAACGAAGGTACACAAACATACAGTTTTTATTCGTTATTCCTCTATATTTTTTTTCTTTACATGTGTACGTTTTCTATTTATTATGCAGTAGTCTAATTCAAACATGTATTTGTTACGAGTTTTAACCATTATTATAATTTTTACAAATATTATGTCCAAGTTTTGTGTAGGCCTGGAACGGATTAGGGCATTTACATGTAAAATGCGTCCCTACTTACGGAATCTTATACTTACGACGGCCCACACAGAACGAACTAATTTTGTAGGTAGAGTCTCTATTGTATACAGCAGCTTTGTCAAATATTTTTAAATACCCCTTCTCTCGAAATTTTTTTCTAAAAAAGAAGACTAATCTCTGAGTAAAATTACAGGCAGCAACCAGTAATTCGGAGAGCTACTGAAATTAGATAAAATTATAAAGGTGCCTACAGAACTCACTCACTGGCTCGGCGGTGTGGTGCATCGTACTATGTGTTAGGATACACTTGACACTGTACCTCTGATTACCTTGCGTGGGTTCGCAGGTTCAAATCCCATGAAAGGATAGTTATGTGCAAGAGGATTGATGGACTCCTCGCCGCCGTAGGTTGGTTCACGTAACCGCTGGTTCTCCACCATCAAGTGCATGCTTTCGATATCAAATTACTGGCTAACTAATCATATGCCCGACAAGGACTGGTCATCAAACGAAATGCAGTGGTTCACCATACGATTAAACGTTGTGGTCTACTCTCCTCTCCCCCGGGATAAACATGTAAATCCTCAGAAGTAATGGGACTCATCTCTGAGCAAATTTTGATGAGAACACTGAAATGCGAAGAGCCGCTGAAATTATTTAAAACTTACCTTGACAATCCATCTGACTGCTCAGCTACTCCCGTAGGCAAATTCACAGAATATCCAGATTCCAGTGCTTTTGTAGAAATATGATTTATTATATTTTAGTCTACATAAGCCTAAAATCACATAAATACATTGATTAGTCAATAATTACAGCTTTGGAACAGTTGAAACAGCATGGATTAGAAATTTATTAAAAATGTCGAAGATTATAAATATAATATGGTTCGATATATTGAAGAACAAAAATTTGTACAGAATAAACAAAATCAGTATTGCTACTAATAGTTGCATAAAAATTTGAAAAAAGTTTGAGATTAAATATACAATCTTATTGAAACTACAGTATAAAAGAGATTCCTTAGATTTACTTGTGTATCAAAATCTGCGAAGTGGAAATTTGACATAAAAAATGAATTTTCGGACTTTATACATCAAGTTTGATATTAGATCACATAATCAATGGATTACTAAATCACAAAATAAGCCAAATTCTGTTGAAAAGAACTCATTGTAATCTCAAGTCAGTGTCTCACATAACTCTCAAGTGGTTCAAACCGACCTATGTGTTAGTAGATAAAAATGGTAATTTTCTAAATGTAATAAATTGGTTCTTAGTCAAAGAACATTTGAACTAAAATATGACAATCAAAATGGAATACATATACAGTAATACTAATACAGCGGAATAAAAGATGAATATGTCAGTAAAATCAGCGGTAACAAATAAAATAATCAAAAATTGGAACATATCAAAAATGAATTGAAAGGTAGAAGTCCCATAATACTGGGTCGCAAGCCAAGTCAAGGGTCATCTGAGTTCGTGGTCGAGTCAATCAGAGGTGTACCCTAAGGGGGTGCGAGTCGGAACCCTCCCTTTCAAAATGCAAAAAATTAATTTTCAATTACATCACTCAATTTACTTCAAGTCTTTGGATAACGGTGACCCAAAAACATCCAAACCCCATGCCCATCACAATAATCCAGAGTATAATAATTAAATAGACAATGCCGAATGATTACATTCTTCTAACCCACTCAGGGTAATAAATCGAATTTCAAGCACTTCAAGTCAATACTGTATGAAAAATAGAAAAACAACTTTTGACACAAAATTACATTTCAAATTCAATAGACAGAAAAAATGGTGACCGTACATTTGAACCCTTGTGTATATCCGCGGTTTCAGTCTATAAGCGGGTGCTAAAACCCATAGGTCAGGGTTAGTATGGGTTCAAATATCCGTAAAACAAAAAAATTTCTATAGGTGCAATAGTATGCAGGTGCAATTGTCATGGGTGCAAATGTACGTGGGTTCAAATGTAATGGAACCAGAAAAAATATCAAAACCCCAAATACAGTTTTCACGTTCACCGGAAATAATCCAACTTCCATCCTCTGACGCGTCCTGAAACATCATGTTTGACCCAACCTTGTTCTATAACTACTTTAATTAGGAAATGCAGCAAACAGCAGCCACGCGGCAACCATACCACGTGACTTCGTGGTTTGCATCAAAGTCCTTATATACCGGTTTGCATGAATCAATACGTTGGCTCATCGTGCTAAGCGTTAGGAATAATCTCATCATCATCATACCTCTGCTTGAACTGTGTAGTTTCCAGGATTCAAATCCTCAATCATGTGGGAGAATTGAGAATGAATATGTGCGAGCGGATACGGTAGCTGGACTCCTTGCAGTGAGGTGGTTCACGTAAACCGGTAGTACGGCTTCCTCCACCATCAGTGCATCTGAAACAACTGGCTCTGGCAACATGCCAGACACGGACTGATAACCGGACGCAAAACCGTGGTACGCCAAATGATTAAGAAGCCTTTTCGGCTTTCCTCTCCCCCCCCCCCTTCCCCCGGCGTAAATGTGAAAATCCTATTCCACGGGATCAAAGGTCAAACTTATCAACTTATATCCAGCTGTTGTTTTGATTTTTCCATGGTTTTCATTGCTCGCTTTCAGCTGCATGCGATTTGTTTTACTGGATTTTTATGAAAGTTTTTCTGCTTTCATAGCGTACAAATGTCTATGCCCTCTTCTAAACTTATCCAATTATTAGATTTTGAAGTATTTGGTCGAGTACAAGGTGTATTCTTCCGCAAATATACCAAGAAAACTTGCGATAAACACCATGTTACTGGCTGGATTATAAACACTGCACACGGAACGGTCCAAGGAACGATAGAAGGAACTCCACAGAACGTTGCAATTGTGAAACAATGGATTACAACGCAAGGGAGTCCAAGTTCACGGATAGAAAAAGCAGAATTTTTCAACGAACGCCAAAACAATTCAAAAACATTTGATAGTTTCAAGGTCATTAGAAATTCTGCCGAAGTTGCCAGAAAAACCTTTAAAAGATAACAAAAGTTTTGGATAGTTGCTGCAGAAATAAGTTTGTTACGTTTACATGAACTTGGATAAGCTTTATCTAAAAATGTTTCATCAGTTTGAGATTAGCTAAATGTTTTATTAATCTATTACTGTAACTTTTGGAAAGTCATATTTATGTATTGTGATGTTTTTCAGCAAAATCCATGCCTTTCAGTTTTAAATGGATTTTCATATTCTCATCCCAATAACTGAACAAGTCCATGGTTCACATTAATCGAATCACTTTTCCGCTTAGAGAAGAAGTATGATAACCCAAAGTTGACTAATCCCTTTCTCTTTACCAAGTCAACTATTTCAGTATTTGTTGATCAGCATGAGAATGGTGGCACACACTTGGCATACAATTAAATTTTCTAATTGATACATATCATCAATTGTCCATGAATATACCTAAACTAGACAAAATCTTATGATTATTATAATGTGCCTATATAATTTATTACTTTAGGGTCTCCCACTGTATTTTATTCATTTGTTCATGTTTGATTTATATTTTGACTTATGCTACTGTTTGTTTTTTATTAATAATATTTATTTTCAAAAAATGATGTTTTATTTCAAGACAACAGTGTCAAGTCCATGCCCCTGAAACATATAACTGGCTTATTAATCCTATACCCAACGTGGACCGGTAACCGGACGAGTGTCCGTGGTTGTCCGTCTTATCAACTTTCCTCTTCCCGGTGATAAATATTTAAAATCCTTCCGATGAGGGGATGGTTTTTGTGGCTCCCATCCTCAGATATGATAGTGCTTATAAGTGTTTTAAATCTTCACTATTCTTTGATACATCTGTGGGAATTTGAGATGGCAGAACAATACGTTTTTCAGATAAATGGACAATATCTGTCCCGGGAGTGGGCTGTTGCTTATATTTAATATTATTTATCACAAAAGACCTTTGTGGGGGCTCCCGAAGTATGCGAACCAAGATCGCGGACATCGGAATGTAATATGTGTACTAGGTTAGGGTTAGGCCATAATTTTAGGTATAAATACTACGGGAGGCTCTTGGCTAGTCTTCGAACTGATAATAGGACTAAAATAAGGAAAATTGGAAAAAAATTATCGCCTAACCCTAACCTGTTACGTTCCGATGTCCGCCATCTTGGTTCGCATACTTCGGGAGCACCCCTTTGTGTTGTATTTGAAGTGAGTGATCGATACAGGATATGATACCGGTAATAGTCATTCTAGCATGTTATTGGGAAGAGGCCCTGATGACCCTTTTGCTTGGTGAAAAATAGGTACTCCCGCAGTGTGCATACCAGGTTAAAGTCCATAATTTTATTCTGTTTTTCCTTACTTTAATTCTATTACGAGTTCAGGGACTATCTGTGTTTGCCAATTCAATATACCCCCTGCCCATGGGTTTCAGTCCCTTTACACAACTTGATGTAAATTACCGTAGGCGAACAAAATTAGTTATCTCCATATTGGTACACTCACTTATGGAGCGACAGAAAATAAGTGTAGAGAAATTTCCACAGCTTGCTTATTCCTCTAATTCAAGCAGCCCATTGCACTGATCTAATTTCTTTCTGATCAAATTTTGAATGCAAACTTCAATTAACTATACTTGCATTAATCTGCCAAAGCTGAGAATGTCCTCCTTGGATTCTCTATCAATAAAATTTAAAACCATAAATAAACAAATTCATAAACTTTATTTATATAAACCATAACAACACTTGAAATGTAAAAAAGTACATGGTAAAGAGCAAGGCCTTATCACAGTAGCTAAGAAATATAAAATAAGAATATCAGTCAGAGATCCCCCAAAAAAGCGCTCTTACTCCATAGTGACACCTTGTGTCCCATCACTAATTAATCAATAACTCGCTAATTATAAGACATAATTCATCCAAAATCAATAGGCTTCAGGTCTGACATATGATGAATGCACATGAAAAATCTGGAGCAGATTCATCTCGCTTTCGTGAGATATCGCGTGCATCTAACAGACAGACAAATACCTATCAACATACTTACCGATTAAAATCGATAAGTATGTTTCATATTCATGCAATGGCACATCTGTGTTCCCATCGCCCAAAGGGGAGCTTATGCAGATAACTGCTTGCCACGGATATGCTTACTATACAATGTGTACCAGCGATCTGATGCTCGTCGGTGTGGCGCATCGTGCTAAGCCAGTGGTTCTCAACTTTTGTTTTCATGGCCCTTTTTCATTGCAGTAAAATTCTTGTGACCCGTAACTTTTTATTGCAAGGGAAACCCTAGAAGAAAAATCAAGATCTTTCTGCGAAAATGAACACTTTATCGTTTATAATTAGAATGGTAATCACCACTCAGTAGCAGAAAACAGCATCATCATTGATTACTGCTACAATCAAAATTAACTATTGTGAGTGACATAAATAAAACGAGCAAATTTTTAATAGTTTTATGGCCCACTGGTTGAGAACAAATGTGCTAAACGTTAAGAATATGCTCGCCCTCGCACCTCTGATTGCCTTTCAGATGGTTATATGGGAAAGGATTGTCGGACTCCTCGTCGCTGTAGGTTGGTTCACGTAACTTCCACCATTAATTAACATGCTTTCGAAAACAAATAACTGGCCAACTGATGCCATACCTGACATGGACTGGTAACCGGACGAGAGGCCGTAGTTCACCATATGTTTAACCCTTTCATCGGCTTTTCTCTCCCCAGGGATAAATATGGAATTCTAATCAGATATCCTGACTTTATTTTAGATCTCTTTTTGAGGAAATTTGTTCAAATTTAGGTCTGAAGTAAAGAAGATTAATCTCTGAGCAAAGTCTATGGCAACCCCATATCATTGTGAAACAGGCAAAACTTTCTAGCATGGGGGTGTTGTAGTCTGCCGCATTTCTCATGTGACTGATGCTGCTTTCTTTGACTGCAAGGAGTTGACTATAAAGAGTTGAACCAACTGACGTTTTTCATTGTTGCGACATCCTAAAATAATTAAATTTATGTTAAACTTATTGTCAGAATTTTTTAAAGGTATTTGACATTTTCACTCTTAACGAGGACATAAGGATTGCACAATCCTGCGCTTCAGAAGTATGCGTACCAATATGTTCGCCTACTTTACATTGAGTTGGGTAAAGGGACTGAAACCTATGGGCAGGGTTTGTAATAGGGCGCTCCCGTAGTATGTGTACCAAGATGGCACACAACCTGATAACCTTATCCTGGTACACATACTACAGGAGCAATTATAATAGAACAAAAATGAGGAAAATTGGAATAAAATCATGTCCAAGTCCTAACCTGGTACACATACCAAGGAAGCACCCACAAAGCTACTGTGCTATCAGAAGGACCGGCTCACAGCCTACTCAATTTATCATATCTTCGTAGATGTTGGGCGTTTGAACCATGAATTCTCTGTGATGTGCAAACATGGTTATGGCTAGTGTGCTGATCACCGGCCATACCGATAGCTTTGCCTCAGAATATATTTCAACTGTAGTCAATTTTGAACATTCAATTCATTGTGAGCACCTCAATGACCTTCTTTATATTGAAGGAGTGAGAAGACCTCAAAAAGAAAAAGATACATACCCCTCAACTTTCAGAAATTAAAAAGGGAACAATTTTATCAAAGATTTGATTCATAAAAAAAACAAATATTGTAAATATGAATAATATAAAAACTTGAAAGAAATTAGGATACTAAAAATTGTAGACCGTACTTAACAATTTTATTTTAATCTGTTGATATAAAACTCAGCACAAAGATAAGTCTATAGATCTTAGCAAAAATGTGCGCTTGCAACTCTTTTATCAGTGCTTTCCACTTCAATCGAGGGCCAAAGAACTTGCTTTGAGCAAACTTGCAACTCCTCTTTTAGTACTTTTTTGATTTTAGGTTTAAGGCTCAACACCTTGCTTTGAAGATAAAAATGTAATCAACTTACCCTTGTACTTTTATTCAACATTTTCTTGGTTCCCGTTGAGCAAGCAAAATTCTGTTGATATTATTTCTCTCAAAAATAATTAAAATTACTAATTTTCTAAATGTAATAAATGCAGTCAAAGTTTACATTCAAAGAACAATTGAACTAAAAAATGACAGAAGCAAAATGGAATACAGATACAGTAATACTAATGCAGCAGAATAAAAGATGAATATGTCAGTAAAATCAGTGGTGAAGCATGAAACAATCAGAAATTGGAACATATCAAAAATGAATTGAAAGGAAGAACTAGGGTCTGGAGCAAAAATGAGAGCCTTTTGTGAGAAAAATTTTGTCATGAATTCTAGGGATAGGTAGAAGTCCCATAATACTGGGTCGCAAGCCAAGTCAAGGGTCATCTGAGTTTGTGGTCGAGTCAATCAGAGGTGTACCCTAAGGGGGTGCGAGTCGGAACCCTCCCTTTCAAAATGCAAAAAAATCATTTTCAATTACATTTTAAGTCTTTGGATAACGGTGACCCAAACATCTAAACCCCATGCCCATCACAATGATCAAGGATATAATGATTTGGTGGACAATACCATACGATTACATTCTTCTAACCCACCCATAAATTGGATTTCAAGTACTCCAAGTCAATACTGTATGAGAAATAGAAAAACAACTGTTGACACAAAATTACATTTCAAATTCAATAGACAGAAAAAATGGTGACCGTACATTTGAACTCTTGTGTATATCCGCGGGTTCAGTCTATAAGCGGGTGCTAAAACCCATAGGTCGGGGTTAGTATGGGTTCAAATATCCGTAAAACAAAAAAAGGTGCAATAGTATGCAGGTGCAATTGTCATGGGTGCAAATGTACGTGGGTTCAAATGTAATGGAACCAGAAAAAATATCAAAACCCCAAATATCCAAATACAATAGAGACAGATTTAGGATTGTGCGATAATATTCGAATATTCGGTTTGATTTGACAAAAATATTCGATTTGAATCAAAAAAATGTTCGATTTTGGACAGCTCTATTCACTGGGAGTAGACGAGAACTAAACGCTACCTTGCAGTTTATTTTTTTTTTTCACATAAATGCTGATTGAAAAACAAAATTTTATTGGCTTAATTAACCACCACAGAAATCGGAAAAACAATGGAGCAGAACAGTAGTGACACCAATCTAAAAATATATATAATTTTCTTAGGGTGGAATTCCTTTTCAAACTTTTTTGAAACCACCAAAGTGTGCCATAGTATTATAAATCGTATTCTTGCGAATAAATGTTTTCTCAGATATAGTTCAAAAAGCAGAGTACCAGAAATCGCCTCAGTCCTTATAACTGAGAGCTGCATGTAAAGCTCAAAATAACATAATATATACTAACCAAAGATTACTACAAGAACAATTGGAAAGATCCAACCGCAAGTTTGATGCAACCTCTGATTAAATATCTATGACCCACGGTCTTCTTTACTACAATAGAAAATTTTTGACCCATTCAGTAAAAAAGGTTTGCCATCCCTGTCCCAGTATTTAACAGTATGATGCAATTTCAGGAAAGAAATACGTTGGAGGTGCCAATCTGGGATTTATATCAAAATATAGTTTGAGCCATAATATTGCTGTTCAAAGTTTTTATAATTGAGCTCATTTTAATTTGAAAGGAGAGAATAATTGGAAATGATTAGGGTTAGGACCCTGGGAAATCCCGATCCCGAGATTTAGACTGTTTTTTTCAATCCCGATCCCGCAATTATTTCCTAAAAATCCCGGGATTTACAGGCTTTGTTATCCACATATGGATATTCACACAAATGGTAGGTTACATATAGGCCATGCCGCGAATATTTAAAGAGCTAAAGTGCCGCGAAATAATAAAGGTTGGGAACCACTGCCCTAGATGCTCTAATATTTCTGTGTCGATATTACATGAAAGAAATAAGTGATTTTATTGTCATGCAAGTTGTTTCAATCTTTTACTTAATCCCGGGATTATACGGCTCAATCCCGGGATATCCACCTCCAATGTTGAAAAACTGATCAAGAAATCTGATCCCTAAGATTGATACCACCCGATACCATGTTTACATCAATACGAGTAATTCGAGTTTCAGCATCCCTATTCCATATTTCAAAACCATTTACTTTATGATCCTTTATTGATGCTTTTGGGCAAACTTTCTCTGTCTCCTGTGTTAGGAATTTCAATTGGGAGACATTTAAACGATGGCCACTGAAAACGAGATATCTCATCCTTTGCGCCAATCTAGCTAGAATGAGCAGATCATCATTAGTGAGAGGTTCCGTAGTCGGTTTTGACAAGTATAAGATGGATAATTTGACATTTTCATTTTCTAAACTTGTGCAAAGAGCTGATAACTGCTTACTTGTTGGAGTGCAACTATATGCATTCAGTAACGGCAGCTTGGTATTTCCCAGTAATTCTGCCAATTGTTTAAATGCTTCTTCATCCATGTTACGATTCTCACTAATATCTAACCAATATATATTCGCACCGTATTCATCCACTGCTTTATTCATCTCACTTATTTTTTCTGCATTCAGATCACAGTTATTCAGGGCAATATCAATTGTTGGACCATGATGAGCTAACCCAACAGCATGAAAATAACCAAGAGGTTCCAGTGCTGGACTTTCGCTTATTGAAACCCTGACGTTAATCTCAAGGTTTCCCTTCATCGCGGCTTCATTCAGGATTCTTAGTTTCTCAGCATCAGGGCCACACTTGATGAAATCGAAGCATCCCACAATGACACTCTGCACAGATCCAAGAATATGTTGCAGAAGAGAATGAATTTCAGGATGTATTTCTAAAAATCCTAATGTCAAAGACCGAAGTGGAGTCAAATTTTTTACAACAGTCAACAGTGCAAGCTGTTCTTCAGGTGGGAAGGGAGAATATAAATCCACCTCTTCTATTTGTGCGGAAACTTTCTTGATCACATCAAGACCACATTCATGTAATAAGGTCACGTCTTTGTAATATAACTTTTCTTTTCTTCCCAATAATTTATCCAAAAGGTATTCAGACTTGATATCCAGGTTACCAGAAAGATATTTCGCTGCTTTTTCTGAAGTTGATTTGTTGAGAATAATTCCAAAAATATGCTTTATAACGACTTTCATTCCTGATTTCTTGTAATTATCATCAATGAACTTCTTGAATTCATCCAAACCAAGATTGCAAACATACAGGGAAGCAAGTATCTCTTGAATACTTTGATGGGAGAATCGGAGACTCATGTCATCGTCATCCAGAACATACTCAAAAAATTCAGTATCAGCATCCATCTCTACCAAACCATGCATGTCTTTCATATCCAGGTTAAGAGATTCAATATAACTTGCTGTGAAATCAAATTTATTCTCTACCATTCCATGGTAAGCCAACTTCATGAAGTCTTTTAGTACTTGACGATCTATGTTTCCTTTATGAGAAGATGTTGAAAAAAGTCTCAAAACACGAACCATCAAATTTGTTAAAGTGCCAACATCACTTTCCTGAGAATCTTTCAACACTCGGACCATGTAAAAAAAGAACATTGGGTTCGAAACAAGACCCTGTGCTTTCTTTTTCAAAGCATAAATGAATTTTTTTGCTTCAGAACCAAATACCTTTTCAGCAAGAAGATTCAGTGTTTTATCATCCCATCCCCCCAAGGCCAGAGTTGATTCTGCCTTGAGACTTGGAGGAAGTTTCCAATAAACATGCCAGCGTGAAGTTGACAAAACCTTCATTTCTTGGTAGATGTGGCCAGATAGAATGTTGGCGATAATAGTGTTGGTTTCCGCTGGAGTGTCTACGCCGATATTTCCGTATTCATTTTCAAAAGGCTTCTTAATTTGGTCTAAACCATCAAGTACGAATACAACATGCTTTGAATTCAGTTTCAACCACTTTTGTCCAACATGATGGAGGTGCTCGGGTAATCTCGATCCAAGTTGTTGGATGAATAGAAGATCAAAAGCAGTTGATGAGCGATCACATTGTAATTTAGAAATCTCAACTAAATAGACCATCTTAATCTCCTCTGAAAAGACCAACTTTTTCTCCGAAGCCAGCATAGTATATCTCAGTGCAAATGTTGATTTTCCAGAACCTGTGTCTCCTAGCAACATCACATGGTTGACTGAGTTATCAGAATGAAGTTTTGTAATATCCACTGGTTGCAAACTAGTATGTTTCTTTGTGTCCAAAGTCTGTTTCTTGAAGTCCGAAGCCCGTTCCTTGGAGTCCGATTCCTTAAACTCGGAAACCTTGGGAAGTATAAAATCGTCCATCTTTGTTTTTTCTTTAACAGACTTCAATCCGAGTTCCAACTTCTGCTTTGTAACATTCTCCACAATTTCCAGAAACTGTTCGACACTCTTTGTATCTTCTATTGCTTTAGCAGATCTCTCTGGCAATTTTGATTTCTCCGAAGGCAACTCTTTTACCATTTGCTTTCTTTTAACTAATCCTGAGGTTTCACCTAATTTGATAGGCAGAGTAGACTCGCACAAACTTTCAGATATTTTTGATGTAGATTCCACAACCATCCTTGGTTGAATGATCTGTTCGTTTTCTGCCTGATTGTAATCATGGATGATTTGTTCCTCCTCTGCATGATTCTCTCCTTGAATATATTCATCAACTAATTGCCGTATTCTTTCTATAACAGCGGCAACATCAACGTACAGTTGTCTTGAATTTCTCCATCTCCAGAGTAATTTTAGGTTGCGTTCTTCGACTGAGAATTTATTATTTTCTGTGATAATATCAACTTCATGCTCATCAAGAGATAATCCCTGCCTGGACCTTGCGAAATGCTTGAACTCTATGGTTTTAAACCTCCTAATAACAATTGGAAAAACATCTTCAAGCCTTTCTTCATGCGCAGGAATAGCTAGATGTTCTGCTCCATAATATTGCCTTACAAGATTCCTTATACTCTGTGGATTTGCATTCGCTCCATTTCTTTCAGCCCAAAGCCAGAGTATTCTATTCTCCTGTTCTTCAACAGAGAATCTGTGGTTTTCAGTGATCGTAGCGACATCTCGCACACTTAGTCCGAGTCCGTTCCTAGATTGTGCGAAATCTTTGAATTCTGCAATTGTTGTAAACTTTTTAACAACTTCAGTAAATGCGTCCTCTAAACGTTCATTCATGGCTTTCAAGGCTTCAACTTCATCAGCATATCACAGTAGGCAATGACTTATCAATATCTTACAACGAATAAAAGCCGAATTATAATAAACGCTCGCGAAAAAATTAGGAAGTTGAGTTGCCCGTAAAGTTCGAATTATAATGGTTTTTTCCTTGACCCTTGACCCATCTCGCTATATTTTTGATGAGTGTTTTGGAGACTGGAGAGTTGGCGTATGTACCTTCGAAATCTTGTATAAATATTAAAACATAAGTACATGAAATTTGATTTGTCAATTTAGGTTTGTAAAGTGCAACCAAATTTCCCCATCTGCGGCTTCGTGCTGCTTTTCATTTATCGCGGGGCTCGACAAGGCGGCTCAACCATATGGCGAACCACGGCCAATCGTCCGGTTACCATTCCATGTCTGGTATGGGATTAGTTAGTTTTTTGTTTTCGGAAGCATGGACTAGACAATAGATGGTAGAGGAAGCCGTAAACGACCAGCGGTTACGTGATGACGACAATGCG